TCGACTGACAGTGAAGCAAGCAAAATTAGACAGTACTGCGATGACATTACAATTTAAATTCAACGTTTTAGCTTTTTCATATTCCTTTACATATCACTACGTTTGGAACATTTTTTTCGTGGTTTTTGTATTACACCCGTCGTCCATTTATTTGTAAGTCATTGATGTGAACCATTGGATCATGTTCAAAATTGAAGTGTCTGAACCAAAAGAGCATCAAATCGCAAAAAAGAGCATCAATTGAGCGTCAGTATTCGTTTGGTGGACCGACAGCGCTCTTGTCAATTATGCCGTACTGCGTTATAATAATCTGAGTACAGAATACCAAATTAAACCTCAAAAGTTTGTGGAATTACATCTATTTTTTTAATTTATGTAACTGCCTCCGTGGCCGAACGGTTACCATACTGGACTGCCACGCAGAGGTCCCCGGGTTCGATTCCCGGGCCGGTAGAAATATTTGTATGGCCTACATTTATTTCTCTCGTGAGTTTGGGTGTAATTTGGGCGCTTTGTCGTCGAGTTGCGGATACCAGCCCGTTGCACCAAGTACCAAGTACCAAGTTGGGTGTAATTTGTGATTGTCTATGTGTGTGTCCATGGCACCCGCGACTCAGGGTTTCCCTGTATTATTTGCCAAGTTTTATTGAAACCGGAAAGTGCGCGAAACCGGATTAATCCCCTAGTTTGCCACCCTTAATATGTGGAACATTTTCTTCAAATTAAAATGGGACTATTGCTCAAGTACCTTCTTTCCAACAAAAAAAGAATCATCAAAATCGCTTCACAAATGTGAGTTAACGCGTAACATACATACAAAAAAAACATACTGTAGAATTGAGAACCTCCTCCTTTTTTGAAGTCGGTTAACAACTAGTAAAAATTACCCAAGTAAAGTTAAAAAAAATGTTGGCAAGTCAACGATGTTAACATACAAAATAAAATGTTAGTATACAAATATGAGCTTATATCCCATACAGGAATTTCTTCCAACTAACCTTTGATTAACTGAGAGGAATGTTGATTACTGAGTCGGCAATAAAAAATAAATAATTAAAAAATATTTAAACCAACAAACACAGGTATTCAATGACAGATAAATTAATTATAAAAATGTACATACACACACACCCACACTCAACATAGCCCCGCACTAGAGAAACCCTGTATCGCGGGTATACACATATTCATCATCATCATCATCATTTCAGCCAAAAGACGTCCACTGCTGAACATAGGGCCCCCCAATGAATGCCACAACAACCTGTCCTGCGCCGCTTGCATCCAGCGGATTTCCGCAGCCTTCACCAGATCAGTCCACCTTGTGATGGTCTGGAAGAACTTTTCGGCCCCATCGGCTGTCTGTTCTGCGAGCTATGTGCCCTACCCATTGCCACTTAAATTTTGCAATTCTTAGGGCTATGTACCGTCATAGCGCTACTCTGGTTGCCTTGCAGATATCCTCATTACTGATTCGATCTCGCAACGAAACTCCGAGCATGGCCCTTTCCATTGCCCTTTGAGTGACCTTGAGCTTTCTTATGAGGCCCATAATGAGTGACCACATCTCAGTGCCGTAAATCATCACTGGCAACAAACAATGGTCGAAGACTTTTGTCTTGAGACACTGTGGTATTTTGGACAAAAAGATATGGCGTAAATTCGTCGAGTCGAGTAGGATTCGACGATTGACCTCTTTCTCGAAGTTGATCATCAAGGTATACACATATTAAATAAATGTTTTTTTAACCGCGACTAAGTTACATGCAAATAACCCAAAACGTTGTTTTTTTTTGTAGAAACAAATATGCGCGATTTGGATCCGAAAAAAATTGTTAAATTGTTATAATTAAAATGGTTCCATTCTATTATTTCCATTCAAATATATTACAAATGTCAATTTTGTGTAGATCTTAACGAGTAACAGTAAATTAGCAGGTGACATTTTGACATCATCGAAAATTACTATTTATTGTAGATTTACTTATTACATCATATACACTGTACGCGAAGTGGGAATAAATAGATTTTCGCCAATAGATTTTTCTCTTTTTTTTTTGGTTTTTTCTACAATCTATATTTCGTATAGTTTGCCCACAGTGCGTGATGAATTTATTGGTAGTACTTATGTATTTATTCCACGTACTTTTCTCATTTCGATTTTCGATGTAACGCTCTGGAATAGGCTGTGAAAGTAAAGTGATTTATTTAGACCGATTCAATTTTGTTTTCCATCAATGTCGTCAAGTGGTTTACTTTATTTCATAACATAGAAGTGCAACAAAACGGTGGTGGTGCAAAAAAAAGGACTATATCACTTACATAGGTATGAGAGATAAGTTCAAAGAGATTACCATACTTAAACTACCGTCACAGTATATTTATAAAAATGCAATTAATTTAAATTTGTATTGAATTGATATTCAATTATTTTTTGTGAAATTACTCCATTAGTTTGTTATAATTAATTTAATGACTCAATTAAGGATAACATACAGTTAGATATATTTAATTCTAAGTGTCATATATTTAAAAAGTCTATTGCGGGTGTCCTCAAGCAGTCTAGTTGAAGTCTCGCAATTTTATTTTAACACTTTTTCTCTATGGTCTTTTCTTTTGCTCTATTTGTACCAACACAAAATTTGTAATTTATAATTAATTGACAGAAACTTTCAAAACATGCTGTACGTACACGCTCCTGGTTGGCATTCTGGTCTAAATCTAGTTTTAAGCAAATTTATTTGTTAAATCTTTCTTGAATGTCGACTGTTGTGTTCGTCTAATAAATAAATAAATAAATAAATTATTAATACAAGATCGAACACTCAGAAAAAATTCCTTCAATCCGGCCGGATTCGAACCAACGTCTTCGTCTTCTTCATGCGAACTAAGCCACGGAACGAACCAGCGGACCTCAGTAATTTTTCTATGTGCTTGTTTGTTGAATCTTTTGTATTTGGTTTTTCAACGACTTTTTAGCCGGAGCGCCATCTATGAGAAATAAGTGAAAGTATTTCGTGACCCAGTTAGGTAAGTTTATAGCTACCAGCTATGGCTAGAGGTGTCACTATTAACTGCATTTAACTTTGTATTGAATTGATATTCAATTATGTTTTGTGAAATTGCTCCACTAGTTTGTTATAATTATGAGTGCAAATATCGAACATTTGGAAAAAAATCATCGATCCGGCCGGATTAGAACCGACGTCTTCTAGCAAACCGTGGCAGACACTATGCCAACTCAGCCACGGAACGAACCAGCGGTCCTCACGAATTTTTCTATGTGCTTGTTTTTTGGATTTTTTGGAATGGCTTTTCAACGACTTTTTAGCCGTAAATTTCCCATGGATGGCTCCATGGGAAATCTATGAAAGTATGTAATGTCATTTATATTAAGAAGAATAGTAATTTTTTAATGTAAAATGTAAAAGTGACAGACATAACATTCATACGAGGAATAAAAATAAAGGCAGTCGTCTTCACAATGTCACAAATGCGTTTAAAAGGACAATGTATACGCTTCTATAATAAGATTCGGGTTGATATTCAAAATATGCAATTTACGAGGTTTAAAACTACCGTAATAGGCCTGATAGTATGATATGGATCGATCGCAGTCGAGAGTATTTCTTGTGGACGTTACCATCCCGTATGACGATGGTCTCGTGAAAGCCGAAACCGAGAAACGCCGGAAGTATCTCGACCTAGCGCACGAGATCACCGACATGTGAGATGTGGCCTCCACTGAAATAAACCCAATTGTTTTGTCCGCAAATGTGTTAATTCCAGTCAGCTTTTCTAACAGCTTGAGGCGGTTGAATTTCTGTGGCGTGTCGCTTCCAACACAAATGCAGAAGGCGGTCCTTGTCGATACGGCACGTGCCATTGCCGGGAAATACCGCCTCTCCCATTTAAAAATTCAAAATTAAACTTTTAGGCCTTGAGAGAGGCGAGAATCTAAAATAGATATAATAATAATAGTTCACAACGTAATAATGAGGTCCCTGACTCCTTGGTATAACCTGTGTAACAGGAGCCAGTCTGCCATCCACTAACCAAAACGCGGCTATGTGACAAATGATCAAATAACCGTGTTAAATAGCAAAAAATTGGTCACAAAATTATCTTTTAGAATCAGTTAAAATGAGTTAACGTGTTCGGCTTATCGGAACTTACCGTAACGATGCATAGCTGAAATGTCATTAAACAATTGCAATATTCCAAAACTGGGTTACGGTTTTTTATGATATCTCAAAAAATTATTTCATCATTTAGCCCCATTTTAGTTAGCGGATGGCAGCAGTGGACTCTTCCAAATTCTGACAAGGCTTAAGGTCGTATTCCAGAACTCTATTCAATGCTCAAGTTAGGAATTGAGTGTTGCAGTGAGCACTGAAAATCATACTCAAGTCCTTGCCATTAGAGTCGTATTTCCAGTGCTTGAAATCATACTCAAGTCTGCTCAAATCATGACTTGAGTATTGCAGTGAGCACTGAAAATTATACTCAAGTCCTTGCCATTAGGGTCGTATTTCCATTGCTTGAAATTATACTCAAGTCTGCTCAAGTCCTGACTTGAGCATTGAGTAGAGTTCTGGAATACGACCCTTTGTCTATTTCATGAGAAAAAAGGAAAGTGATAGAATTTATTAAATTATAGTAGTACTATTTCTTAATAATTATTATAAGTTGGATACATTTTAATAAGCAAATTGCGATAAATGTGTCTGTATGAGTGAATGAGTGTGTGTTGTATGTGTGTGTGTATGTGTGTCACACACATGTGTGTACATACACACGATTATGAAACAAAATCTTTATTATTCTCATGTAAGTGAGTTACTTGTAATTCTTAGTGAGAATAAAATGTAAACTACCTCAAGGCGATGTGCCGAGACCACTCTTGTTCTATATGCATAGTATCTATTTCTCAATAATACTATATACTATTATATGTATATAGTATATATTTCTCAATAATCATAATAAACTAAACTTACCTTTGGTGTTTGGGTCCTAGGCCCCGTTGGCTATAGTCAATTAGCTTACTGGTTGCATGCGAGACCTGTAACAAGAATAATATAATTTTTACTTAATCGACTTTATATCAATGAGCAGAAAGTGCAAAATTACTTATCAACAAGACAATATTATATAGAGGGCTTTTTCTTTTATAAAATGTAAGTGCGCAATTGACCTCTCATCTCACCTGATAGAAAGTGACGATGAGGTCGACGATGGAGCACCTAAATAATGCCTATTCACTCTCGCCTTGAAAAGGCCCAAGTTATAACGTTCAGGGAACAAGTCTGCAGGCAGGGAATTCCACTCCATAGCCGTTCGCCAAATGTTGAAGCGTAATGCTTCGTGCGAATCTTTGGAATATCCACAACATAGGGGTGGAACCCAAGCCTACGCCTAGTCCCCCGGTGATGGGAAGAGGAAGGTGGAATTCCATCGCACACTCTCCTTGATTTATCCTGTAAAATATCGATAAGTATACAACTTTACGGCGATATTCAAAGCTCTGCAGCTTCGCCTCCACTAATTTCGATCCGGTCCGACGCAAAATCCAATAAATAATAATAATAACGCATATACTCAACATAGACCCGCACTAGGTAAACCCTGTATCGCAGGTGCCATGGACACATGTCTATGTAGACAATACACTCAAACTCACGAGAGAAATAACTGTAGACCATACAAATATTTCTCCCGGCCCGGGAACGAACCTGGGACATCTGCGTAAGCTCCATGTGAATGAGTTGGTCCAGGAAAATATGGAAAATACTGCCACCTTACCTATTTTTGCCGCCAACTAATAATGTGAGCATTACTGCGTTCCGGTTTTGAAGGGTAAAGATGCTAGTGAAATTACAGCAAATGGGCCTTGTCAACTTATGTCTCAGATCTTTGCGATTTAAAGCACTGAGTGGTACTGCATCTGTTATGGAAAGACGTGTCGCTTACCACCAGGTACACGTCTTGAATCTTAAAAAAAACTTTGACATCTAAGTACAACAAAGTATTTAAATTCAAAGTAAATATTTTCAATAAATACCAGGGCCGTAGCCAGACACAAGATAATATTAAAGCTAGAGAATTTGCGGTCAACTTTAGGTACTTTATCGAAAGTCAGCGGTTACAAGTCCACTCAATATCTTTCGATAGAATCCAAACCACCGGAAACTCATTTTAAAGTTCCGAGAATTTCCGTCTTAGTATTATGGAAATTGGTTTGGCCGAATTCGGTAATTACGAAAAAAAAGAAATATATTTACAATTAGCTAAGCTTGTGTTTATATCTACCGTAAAAATTTTTAGCAATCGTGTTTTCACACTCAATTGTACTATACATTATTTTTCAAAACCCTTTCACTGTTGTGAAGATTTTAAACCTCTGTTCTGAAAAGTTGTCATTTTCAGATGAGGCCTTATTACACCAAAGGTGCGAAATATCAAGGCGCTTATTAAATCACTGTTGCGGACCTGTGCATTTTCAAGTACATTCTTTTTGTACTGGAGGCCACTAAGTTCCAGTGGCCTTTTTACGGGAAGCTGCCGCTGGATTACAATGTACCTATTTGCAACTGAATGCGGGTCTTTGTTCGTTTTTCAACTACAAATTTCTCTTTTATTTCAAACAGCGCTATTTGAATGAAGGAAGATTAACGTTATCGTGTTTGCTTTGTGTGCTTTAATTTATCTGGCCGAGTGTGGTTTTTGAACTGCTTGTTAGATAATATGTAATTTTTCAAAGGGAAAGCGGGGAATCTATGTTGTGTCGTCGTTTGTTTTGCAATTCTAACGTCATCGCCTTACTATTAATACAGTGAGTGGATATAGATCCACTTTTTAAAATTTTACAGGTGAGGGAAAACCTTCCGACGTCTATAATTGTTACGTGAAACGTGAAGTTTTGAAATGTTTTAATAGATTTTTCTGTAAAGTTCACAGTGCACAGATGAGGTATATTCTGCACATTATAAGCTTTTTTTAACCGACTTCAAAAAAGGAGGAGGTTCTCAATTCGACTGTATGTTCTTTTTTTTTTGTTATGTATGTTACGCGATAACTCCGGTATTTGTGAACCGATTTTCATGATTCTTTTTTTGTTGGAAAGGGCGTATTTCCATAGTGGTCCCATTTCATTTTGAAGAAAATCATCCATCTCAAAGGGTGGTTGTTCACGCATGAAGATTCATTTTTATAAATAGCGCCTAACTTTAATTTAGGAGCAATTACTTTTAGCAATTATTTAGTTAATTTTGCTATTTCTCCAATTCAAGGCGTTTTTCTCTCGATATACTTTGAGTAGTGTCGTAGTGAGAACCTATTTTTATTATCTCCAGTATCAAGTCCTGTATAGTGGCGAGCTAGGGGATATTTCAATGAAACTTAGCAAATAGACGTAATTCCACGTACTTTTGAGGTTGGTTTTTTTAGTACTCTGTACTGAGATTATTATAATATCAAGTGATGGGACGAAAAGGTCGTGCACCTGATCGTAAGCTACACGCCTGTCCGTAAAAGTCGCAGTGCCGCTCATAGCTTTAAATCGCAAAGATCTGAGGCGCACTGCCACTGCGCTCGTCATCCTGAGACTTAAGTTGACAAGTCCCATGTGCATGTAATTTCACCAGCACCCTTACCCTTCAAAACCGGAACGCAGTAACGCTTACATTACTGCTTGGTGGCAGAAATATGTACGGTGACAGTATTTCCCGGAACGAACTCTTTCACAAGAAGCTCTACTGCTTCTGAAGCTGAAGAAATAGATTTTGTAAAATTGTAGACATGATGAGGTTTAAATAGTAAGACGACGGCATGTAATTTAAAAAGATATTTGCATAATACGATGTCTCCGATGGTGAATGAACAGAGACGCTTTTTATCTTTCTTCAATACAATTTTATGGTATCATTTTAAGTCTACTATTAATGAAGAAATGCAGCGCAATGCGATTATAGGACCTGAAAAAAACCCGAATCTTTGCTTTGTTCGAAAAAACATACCTGAATACACCCGATTTACATCTAGAAATATAGTTTTATTTCCTATACGTATCCATTCCTAAGGCTACTAGTAGACGACCTGCATTCAAAACCGATTGACGTCACTGGTCTTTTTTTCATGTTATCAAGTGATGAACGACACGCCTATCCGTAACAGTTGTAGTTCCACTCAAAGCTTTAAGTCGCAAAGATCTGAGGGGCACTGACACTGCGTCCGCCACTTTGAGACACAGGTTGACAAGTTCCATGTGTCTGTAATTTCACCGGCACATTACCTTTTAAAACCAGAACGCGGTAATGCTCCCGTTGCTGCTTGGTACGGTAAGGCGACGAACTCATTCACTCCTTCTACAACATTGTTGACTGCATGCTGTAGATCACGACCCCACGTATTAACTGCAGTCATACAGTCCATCTGATAGCCTCAAACCTATTGACATTTATATAGACTTTTAAATTTTTACGTCTATGACATAATTCTAAAAAAAAAAAACAATGGCGGCATTCCCGCTCATCGCACGTTTTTTTATGACCCACAAATACTGATTATTTTTTAACTCCCCTATTGCAATAAACACGGCTATAAACGTAAATTCCCATAAAGTCCGAAAAAAACAAAAGGACCCCAAATTGTCAGACCTCCCCTCCTCCACCCGTAGCAAGGGTCACGGCGAAAGGGTAGAATTTAATCCGGAAAAATCCAATTGCTGCGTCTTGACCGCAATACTGATGCTCCGCATGTCCATTTGGTTAGCCGAGACACAACGAGTGCATTTACAGATCTACCTAATTCAAAAGATGGTATTATGGTAACATTTGATTTATTTCATGGTTTCAAGTGACGGGACACACTTATACATAACAGTTGCAGTGGTACTATAATTTAATTGCAAAAACCTGAGAGACACTGTCAGTGCGACCATCACCTCGAGACACAAAGTTGATAGTAACGTGACAGAGAACCACACCAGCAGCCTGGTCTCAAACTAGGCAATACCCAGTACTAAGACTACCAAAGCAACGGAATTTACTCTAGTGCACTTGCCAGCATACCCGACTCAAAATTTACAAATTGATCCTATTCGGAATTGAACCCGAGACCTCCTAGTCCAGTGCCCACCGTGTAAACTATTAGGCCACCGAGGTCATCAATAAAGTTAATAGTTTCACGCACATTACTGCATGATGACAGAAATAGGTTTTGGTGGCAGTTCTTCCCTGGACAAACTTTTTCACATGGAACTCTTCTGCTTCTAAAATTAAATATATCTTTATTTTAAAATCGCCGGAAAACAAAACATCAGTCGAAGGCGTCACTCCTGGTTAAAGAATAGAAGGGAATGATTCGACTGCAGTACCATCTTGCTCTTTAGGGTGCAACCTCTAAAGTCAGGATAACCACGATGTTGTCCAACCTCCCATAGGAGAGGAATCCTAAGAACGAGGTTTCAAAAGTAAGTACCCTTGAAATCGTCATTACCGTAAGTCTAGCTGGCTAAAAAATAACTTTGACAGGTTTCTCAAAAGTGGCGCTACATCAAAAAAGCTGTTTAAATCAAAAACAAGGATAGGCAACGAACAAAGGTCTGCTGGATCATTCCGTAGCTCAGTTGGGAGAGTGGTTAGCCCCAGTATGGCAAACAGTCGTTCGAATCCAGCCGGATCGAAGGGATTCTTCTTTGTGTTTGTTGTATCAATAACAACACCAAATTCGTAGCAATAAATTCTACAGAATTTTAATAAGCATTGTATTTCTGTTGGAGGAGGTTCTTTTTCGATGATTCCTTTTTGAGGTTACCTCAACAGCAGTCCCATTTAAAATTGAAGAAAATATTCCACCTCTAAAGGTGAAAAATTAGGGGATGAATCCGGCTTATAGTATTTCACCCACTTTCCGCTAATAAATTTCAATAAAACTTGGCAAATAGATGTAATTCCATAAAATTTTGAGGTCGGCTTTTTTTGAACAAACTTTAAATTTAGTGTTCATTGTGTTGCCACCCTTGGAGCGGTCAAAGAGTAATAGAAA